ACACTGAATGAGAATTTGATTAAGAACTCCAAATGTGTCCAGTAAATAAGATCAAAACAATAAGTCAATTGACCAAATAAACATTTCCTTCTGCCTGACTGTAACTGTAATTCCATTTCCTATGCCCCAAAAACACAAAGCAGAACGTGGATCTGGTCAAGAATTGAAATGTTTGAAGTAATAAAGAGAACAAAACACAGAAATCTCAGCTCAAATAAACATTTCCTAACATGTTATGAAGGTATCTCTAGAATGTGTCAACTAGACTGGCCAGGGGATATTTTCTGAACTTATGCAGCAAGGTGTTATGATTTTGAATTCAATTTTTTCATATTTTGATTCATCATGTTGACAAGGATATATAATTTCTTTTATCCCATTCAGGATTTCTACAGAGAATTGACTCATTTTTATCTAATATCAAGGGCCTTGGAATCGAGGGCTCTATAAAAGGTTTCTATACATACTGTTGCATGCATGTACTTTATCTTCTAGACTTGTTCTATTCTTGTTATCCTGGTGTCCCTTATACCCTAACTTAGAAGATTTATCTATGTATTTAGGACCTTCCAAGTCTACCCACTTTTAAACCAGTCCTGAATTTTTTTTACGTTATACAACAGTAGTAAATTCACTATTGAGACAATAGTCTCATTTCAATAATGTCAGAAAATGCAAAAAGTGAGTTGTCTAAAATTACTTAGTCTTGTTTTTTCTTCAATTAGTAACAATGTCCAACTTGAGGGCTATAAAAACAGTATCATGAACAAACATACTAATATACCACTTGAGAACCCCTTCTCAAAAGTTTTACTTTTGGACAAATACATGCACTCATACAAATATTTTTAATTTCAATTCTTTGGAGACAATTTAAGGGAAACATTACATTCAAACACTACTGCATAATATTTGGGCATTTCATGATATGCATTTTATGAGAATTCAAGGAAATTCTTTGCTTTATGGCACTACAAATGAGTACATCTAGGAAGCACTTCAACTCCTGAAGAATCAACTAACATAATTTGTTGAGTTGTGTTATTTCTTAAAATAAAGAAATAGGGATAACCTTGATGACCAGCTTTACCTTTTGAGAAAATATGAGATAAATATACCAGTAACAAAACAACAAACAGATAATACAGATCAAAATGAACAAGAAAATGAATGCCCAAAATGAAGTATCAAAAAATTAAGATACGAACACAAACAAGTACATATGTTATACGAAATTATTTCCGAGAACAACACTTGCAAGGGAAGTAAATTTTTTATGCTCTATCAAACCCCAGAACCACTCGTCTGGGTGGTGGGGAATGAAGTGGCTGTAAGTGTCAGGTTTGTAAGGTGGCCAATTCAAGCAAACAATTTTCTTAGAATATACGTATAATGATCTTCCAAGATCATATTCTCTAATATACAGGGATGTGTAATCATAATTTCACCAATTTTGGTCAAAATATGTTAAACCTGCACATCGCTCCAAAACGCAATCTTGGGTTGTTTCGGGGGTGAACTTTATCATTTTGAGCTTAATGAAAGATTATAGAATGATGAACAAATGGGGCAAATCTTGTGTAGAAATACTTACGATAAATGTGTCATTTCAAAGATTTTTCATTGAATTGCTTCGATCGGCGCCGACGATATGATTTTGGAAAGGTTTCTAAATGAAGAACGTGACGTCACTTCCGAATCATAGCATTCAAAATAAGTAGCTTTTAATTACTTCCACCCTTCATAATCAGCGGTGATGTAGCGGTAGAATTCTCGTTTAGCACGCGGGAGGCCCGGGTTCGAATCCCGCATTCGCCTTTTTATAATTTTTAACTAAATGATTGTTCTTTGATATTACGCAGAAAAAACAATTTTTATTTACATAAACTTTATATTAGAGCTTAAAAATGTAAAAACAACATATGTCAACATATTGCGTTTTGGAGCGATGTGCAGGTTTAACATTTTATCCTTTTGGCAGTGTGCAAACAAGGTGGTACCCTTTGCATTCGTTTGACTTCACTTCTTAAAAAAGAGCTTCGTCTTCACTCTTTCAAACTAAAATAAACCTGTGAACTCACCGCTCCAATCAGTGTTCGTCGGCCAATTTTGACCGACGTTCTATATATGGTCATCCCTTCTGACGTCATCATTGAGCCCGGAATTGACCAATGACATGCGCATATTTAATTAGAACGCATTTGGCGTATGTTTCTTCAAGCTCGCTGATTGGTGGAAGTAAGGTCAGCGCGTAGGTCAAAAGTGATTTATTATCCAAACTGTCACCGGTACCCGTCGTTGGGGCGGGGCTACTAAACAGTAATATGGTCTCTACTAGGCAGAGTGTAGTTTAACTAGACTCTACACGCAGGGTAACAAGGTGGCAACTGGGTGGCACATATTTAAGAGTGACACGGAATGTTCAACAAGAACAGGGAGTAACAAACAATTTGGTTGCTCCAATGGTGAGGAGTCCACATTGATTTATGCTGATACCATAATATTTTTACATAATATTCACTTACTAGGTTTCAAGTTTATGATAAATTCTCACTTTCACAATAGTAAGTTCATGAAAATTACATAACCTTGATCCTCAAGTCTGGCAGAGTCTGAGGTAAAGTAAAAAAATAATATACTATCTAGCCATGTCATGTGGCTTTGTTAATGTTAGAATGTACTGTCAGTATTTTTCTGACAAGCACTGGAATTTTTCTAAAGAAGGCTAAAAATTCTCATTAAATTACATTTCTGGCTTAAATATCTAAGCACAAGTGCCAAAGGGCAAGAACCAAAAACGGTAAAGAAACCTACTAAGAAAAGCAAACTTCCGAGTGTAAACCTGTCATACAAAAAAAAAAGATATATCCCAAAACCATGATCTATGTAATGTGAAAAGGAATAATATCTGACAGACTAACACCCCTTCCCTTCAAATCAGAACCAATATTACAATCAAGGACCAGAACACTAAGGGATATTTCATTCCTACTGAAGTCATTACAAAACATGTTGAAGAAAAAATTGAAAAAATTGATAGTTAATACTCATATTATCAAAAATAGTTGAAAATACTAAGATATTCAAATATGATATAAATGCTGATTGCTGCATTATTTTTCTTATTGTCAAGTAAGTACTCCTTCATTTTCAAAATCCTAATGAATGAAGCCTCTACATGTAAAGTACTTCGATATCCTAAATAAAACATATTGGCAAATAATTTTCGTGAAAATATGCCCCTAAGTGACTTCACAGATTGGTGATATGATTCAGAGCTTACAACCACAAGGATCTTGGCCCCCACTTGAAAGATGTGCCAAAAGAAACATAATCCATGAATGGTACCTATAAATACAGTATGCATCTACTCCCATTTGATTCATCAATCTCTAAGCAGTTTCATTCATGTGTTGCCTTTTCCTTTCTTCAGACCTTCGCAGAACCTTTCCAAAGAATTTGGGGATTTGTTAAAATGAATGTCTTTGACAGCTTTGAACAATTTAATATCTCCAGGGAGAAAAAAGATGACACAAATACACTTATTGATATAATAAATAAATGTAAGAATAATTCCAGTATAAAAAAATAAAAGAAACAACCACAGGACATATTTTTACAGATTATATGAAGTAATAATGCTTACAATCATGGCCAAAAAAGACATGACACATACAACATTAAATAAGCCAACCACCATGACAAAATAAACAATTTGGATGCATATCTGAGCACATATGAAAGTTATACATATTGATAATTCCTGCCAAGATAACTGACAAATGACAATTCACCACTCAGGCATTTATGCAAATTGGCAAAATGGTATAAAAATGGTGTGATTGTTGAGCATGTTTTGTTACAATACCTGGATGTAAAAGATCACAATAATTCTAAAGAACATCCCAAAAAATAATCATAAACTTGAAAAATATGATTTTCTCACACTTTCTTCTCATACTAATTATTCAAAAGTCTGAAAAATTGGTTCTATAACAGAATACATACATAAACATGACCCCTAAAAGTATAACTAATGAATAAAACAACTCATTTAAGACCAACAAATGTCAACATATCATACAGGGACACGAAAAAGGCGCCATACCCCAAAAACTATAATTAATGAACACATTAATGACCGAGATATAGAATGACAGCCCTAAGAAGGCAATCAAACTTAACCTTGAATGAGCACCAACATTTCCAGTCCTGTTTTTAACAGCCCCAACTCCCAAACAAACACTTGTTAATGTAACAACCCTAAGTGTAATGTCAACATACAGTATCAGGACCTGGTTGGACTCCCACATTGATACAGGTAGACAAATACATGAAGAAAACAAATGATGACGTCTATATTTATGTTGATGATAAGGGAGGGAAGTACAGTTGTATGTCCTCAATTTGGTCTGATGTTGCTAGAAGTCATAATATCAAAATAGTCGGGTTAAAATGTAACCAGATAATTTGAGGATGTTTTGTATGTTAGGAATATGAATCAATTAGACCTTGGGAATTATGGCATCAAAAATCTGGGCCAAAAATGTTCTTTTATGCAAGTGCTTATCCTTAATATAAAGTACAGGTAGGCAATGCCATTCATTTAACTTACAAATATCCAAACAAATGGGCATACCAATACTACAATTGAAGAGCAATTACCTACAAAGTTGACATTACCTAAATGTCCTCTGAACACACCCATGTTCAGTCATAAGACACTCAGTAACTGTTCAAAACAAAAGTTTTACTATTTGGACAGTCCTAATACAGTAAAACCTGTCTTAGTGAACACCTCTCTCAAGTGAACGCTTGTCTCTAGTAGAGACCCTTCACCCACACATAATCTACCAACTTTGCATAAATAATTCTCTCTGTAATAAACACCTGCTACCGACAGTGAACACATTTTTTCTAGCTCCATATGTGTTCACTGTTCACAGGATTTACTGTACATCATTTTCCAAACAGTATGGGTTACTAAATCTGGTACTCACCTATGACGGCATGGACTCGCACTGATAGCTGTGTTCTCAAAATTATTGTGTTCTTTCTCCTGAAATGGAACAAACGTTTGAGTTAAAACAACATATATTTATGAAATAAATATTTAGAAATAAATTTATAACACAATTGAAATGTCATTGTCATTATTGTTTATTGTTCTTTATATAAATACAAAATGAAAGTAGTTTCTGCAATTTGACCTTATTCTAAATCCACACAATCTTAGAAATATTTGAACTTGGTAACTGAGGCAATATTAGAACACCCTGTATTTCATAACAAACTGTATTTAAATATATCAGAACACCCTGTATTTCATAACAAACTGTATTTAAATATATCAGAACACCCTGTATTTCATAACAAACTGTATTTAAATATATCAGAACACCCTGTATTTCAAAACAAACTGTATTTTAACATATCAGAACACCCTGTTTTTCATAACAAACTGTATTTAAACATATCATAACACCATGTATTTCATAACAAACTGTATTTAAACATATCAGAACACCCTGTATTTCATAACAAACTGTATTTAAACATATCAGAACACCCTGTATTTCATAACAAACTGTATTTTAACATACCAGAACACCCTGTATTTCATATCATAATGTATTTAAACAGCCTTTACTTAATAACCTTATGTATTTGAACTTGTGCTTTGGTAACACTAAATCATAACACCCGCTAAACTATTGGGTTGTAAATAATCTTCAGGCTTTACTTTATCACAATATAAAAACTGGAAAGTAAATAGTAAAGGTCTGTAGTGTAAATAGAACTAAGGATGTACTAGGACCTTTAGTACTTAACTAAATATGAATTTTATGACTCGTTTTCTTAATAGAAAGTTATTAAGATGTTTTCAACAGGTTTTATGTCAATATAAAGCTTAGACTCGATTTCAGCTGGATTTATTTATGGTTTGTGTTTTTGCTCGATCAAGGTTTAAGTTTCTAAAAATTCAGAATTTAGTAGAATAGTACTTTGAACTCACTCTAGTCTTTCTAGGTCTTCTGTACCAGTTGTTTTATTGTTTCAATTGTGTATGAGTATGGATTTGATTAACCATGCAAATACATACTTTATTTGGATTTGAGGTAGGTTCCTTTTCCAAAAGATTGAAATTGCTTTCTAAAAGAGAGCTTCATCCCATTATACTAGGCTCTGATGCTGAAGGTAGCAACTGTGTAATAATTACTATGTACTGATATTAAAACAAACCCTGGGCCATCTTGTTAACATTCTGATAGGATGAATCTTGTGACATCATGTTACTCAACTGTGTGTACCATTGATTAAATTGTTCAAAAATCGGTTCTTTTTGGGGTTTTTCTGTTTTGAAAGAGCTATTGATGATTATTTACATATATGTAGTTATGCAATAAATGCATTGTACACTCATTAAGTTACTATTGTCAAATATGCCATCTTCCTCAAATCAGAATGTTAAGGACAGACCAGCTTGAGAAACTTAGCATATTTACCCCAATAGTGACACAAGGTGAACGTGTGCTTCAGGTAAGACTTTATCTAATGTCAATCATTCAGCCATTTCATAGAAATGATATTGGTCATCATATTTGCACTGGAGTGAAAAATAAATTTGGAAAATCGCTTAGTTTGATATCAAACATTGTGGACTACAGGTAAGTGTCAGACAAGGACTCTTGAAGACTGTTCAACATACAAGATCAAACTATTTAGTATATTTACTACAATATGATATCCTTATATACATCTTGTAAACCAAGTTATTGAAGGATCGAGCCTTCAGGTCAGTTGTTTTTTATCATCTGGAAAAGCTTGACTTCGCATGCACTCATATGATGAGAAATACACTGATTTATCACATATACTATCAAAATATGTAGCAGAAAACCTGAAAGTTATTTTTTATTATAAGCAGATAACATTCATATTGCATTCAAATTCCCATAAAAGATAGGAAAGTTATATTTGAGATTGTAAAAAATGAGTATTATTAGTTGAGTACATCCCATATTCCAATTATACACTTTATCCTTTTGCAATTTTACCATAGTTTTGAACTGGACAACATTGACATTATGATGAAAGACATTTTTAAACCAAATATTCAAAATGTTTTAAGAATCCAGTAATTGAGACATTTACTGTTACATTCCTTTATCCAATTTGTACAAACTATATTTGGAATCTGACATATCTAAAATATCTGCCTGCATGATACATAGCGTTTATTTTAAGATATTTACACCCAAATTCCAAATAACAACAACTCTCAAATAGTCAACCAAAGCCATCAAAAAACTATAAAAATCTACTTGAAGAAAGTGGTTTGACCTGTATGACACCAGAACTGTAATTCAGTCTTATCTCATATATACTGTCCTAGATTCAGCATTATAGTCTTAAATGTTGTAAGAGGGCATAAGTGACTTTTTAGTTTGTGGCCAGACTTGAAGCAAAGGCAGGATCTGATGCCAAAGTCATTATCAGTCTGAGACATATGAGACCAAATAAAACATGTGATGCTAAATATGGTCAACATTGTTTCCTTCCTGAAATCATGATGAGTTAATGTGTGGTATATGAGAATTGTGAAATACAAGGACTATGTACTTTGAAAAGGGGGTGGTAAATCTCTGTGTAGATAATGCCGACAGATAAAAGGGTACACACAACATTAAATATACTTGATTATCACTTAGATGCATCCATAGACATCGTGATAAACGATGGCACCTTATTTCTTCTGTTTAGTTAAAAAATGGGAAGATTTGATGAGTTAAGATGAGAATCAGATGTTGGCTTCAATGAGAACATTTTCTGGATCAACAGTCCAAGTTTCATTAGTCCACCACAAATTGAATTAATTAAGTGGTTTGTAACAGGAAACCACCGATGCAAACAACATGTGGAAGACCGTACCAAACTCTGTGGTTAAAAGTAAAGTATCTGTTCAAAAATGATCTTGTAAAATACATGTAAAAAAGAGCAATGTTATGACATCAATAAAGAAGTAAAAGATATCAATAGACCAAACTTTCCACAAATAAATATTGCAACCATGAATGCAAGATTTAAGAGATCTCCTCAATTCTTTCAACATGTTCTACCAGTTCATTGATTAGAGTGTAAATGTTAATTGAATTCACTGTAGATCAGTCTGAAGAAGCCACAGCACAACTGACGGAGGCTGTTTTTCTATTCAGTTACCAAGGTAACGGATTCAGTGCATGTAAAAGATTAGCTCTCAAGGTTTAGTGGATGTGAATTTTACTCTTTATATGTGGAACTTATTTTACCTGGAAAAACCCTTCGAGTACTCATCACATTGCCTTTCTAACAATTCTAAAGTTTTCAAACTGTTAAAGTTTGAAGAACTATACTGGTGGTGACTGATCACCTTTTCAGGTTTATCTTCATGATTCAGACCTAAATTGGTCAAAATATACCTATTTTTCATGATTTTTATCATTTTCAAGTGAGTGGAAATGGATTTTCAGGTGGGTGGGTACAAGCCTGTTTTCAAATTCTCAGGTAGATGCAGACCCTACTTGATTTAATGATGGGAGAATCACTGCATAAATACAATATATCTACTGTAATTAGGTAATTAATTATTGTTACATGCATTGTAATATGAAGGACCGAATGGCTTGGTTAAGTATTACATATGGTTAAATAATCCTTACTCCACTAATGAAGGTATCAATAAAGGGTAAGCCAAGAATAGAAAGGTGTTAATTAACAAGTTTCAATTACAGGGTGTATGTTCCACCTCTGGTATTTAGAAAACATGATGGAGAACACCAGGAAAACAAAACAGCAACTTGAATGATAAGTACTTTTCAAACCTATTCAGACCCGCCATTGTCATACATTGTCTGTCATAGGGGGATGGGGTGGGAGGTTAAAATTTCCCAGTAAATATTTAGGGGAGGACATGCTCCCCTGCCTTCTGAAACTTATCACACCTTTATGCCTTCATCTAGAAATATGCTTCTAGAAAGAAGCTAATAGAAGGCCATGATTTCTCATGATGACTTCCCCCCGACTTTTTGAAGATGCTGTTTGGTGCAATCTGAACTAAATTATCATTCATGTGAGATCTTAGAAAAAAGTTTGCAAATCAATCTAGTATTGGTGGTCACTGTGACAGAGAAAAACAGCTGTGTGTATATTAACATATGTTCTGAACTGTCTAGCCTAAGTTTAATTACTAACAATAACCTTCAAAGTTGGTTATTTATAATAATGGTCAGTGACTTATGCCATTTTGCTGTTTCTGATAACAACACACTATGTATAATATACATGTAACTGTTAATTTATTTGAATTTTCCATACCTCTAGGACATATGCTCTCCTGTCTGAGAAATCAAAACAATAATAATTGAATAGTTTGTGAGGGAAATGTTTTGTACACATGTAGACTGAGGTCAGGTCACTCCAAGATGAAGAACTCTGGTCAACCACAATGCCTCATGTCCTAACCACAAGGCTTGAAATTTAGGATATCTAGAGCGTTTAGGCCATAAATCACATGAGTAATATATGAAGGTGGACCAGGGTATGACATCTTGCCCTGTAAGGTCCTCTAGGTCAAAATAGCTCTTCTGAGTTGATACTCATACAGATAATTTCAGCAATGGTTATTTTATGTTCTGATGAATGACATGTCTATTTCAAAGGTCTTTATCTATTTAAAGTTTTTGAAATTAGACATACAAAGAATGGTCTTTCTGGGTACAAGAAATAAGATTAGAAAATGAAAAGGTTAAAATGAATTTTCAAATCAATAATCACTTTGCATTCAAGTTGAGTTACAGTTAACTTTACCATTATTCATTCAATGGTGCATATTAAGATTTAGCAATGGTACATAGTGAAATTAAGCAGAGTAGATGACATAAGGGCGGATTCATTTAAGTATTTAAGTTTGCGACCTTTTCTTTATGATTACTAAATGATTATTATGGGATATTATACTGCCAAACAACAGAAACTTTCAAAAAGTTTGTACAAATATTATCAAAATGAAAACCAGTATTGATTGAAACTGTTACTTCATCCAAACCAAATCTAACAATCGCTTGAACACTTTTCAAGCATTGTTATCAAAATGGTCTACGGCTAAATCTCAATACAAATAAAAACATCAAAACAGGTCACAATTTTACGTAGGTCTGGGCTTTAAACGGGGTATTCAAAGTGTATGCTAATCCCTGTTATTCCACCCAAATAAAAGATTTCCTTCCACAAATAATATTCAATCTAAATCCAATTGTTAAATCAAGTCAACAGTATAAAGTGTTGAGAGAAGAACACGGAAGTCTATAAGTATTACCTGTAGATTATGTGAATGGAGATATTCTTTGAAAAAATGTTACAAAATCAAAAATTCATCTATCAGTTATCCAAAGCTTGCGAAAGATTTAGATATTTTCTGGATACAGTAGAAGTTGTAATTTAATTTGGATTTCATATTTTGAGGTTCCGTCCGAGTATATCTTTAAAGATCACCCTGGGTTTTATCATTTGCCACTTGATGGAAAATACATCAGTTTGAAAGAGTCAAAATACACATAGTTCAGATTCTTCATTTTAAAGGCATCATTGTTCAAATGGTATTATTCTCAGTTTTTAGTTTGATTGACTTTTAAAGTTGAAGGTATGTAAACTCAGGCTATAAATCTTCCAGCACCTGTTTTGTCATTATAACATAAGGATGCTTCATTGACAGGATAATAATTGAAGCTATAATTATTATTACTTATGGGCAGTAATATATCTCAATTTACCTTGCCTGTTCATTTTCTTTCATTAAGAAAGTGATTTAAAATAACCAAGTTTGTTTACATTAGCAATTACATTAATGAGATTTTCACCAAAATACCTCTTGTAAAAATGATTTTGGTCGACATAAAGATTTGTTAAACCTGCACATCGCTCCAAAACGCAATCTTGGGTTGTTTCGGGGGTGAACTTTATCATTTTGAGCTTAATAAAAGATTATAGAATGATGAACAAATGGGGCAAATCTTGTGTATAAATACTCACGATAAATGTGTCATTACAACGATTATTGATTGAATTGCTTCGATTGTCGACGACAATATGATTTTTGGAAGGTTTCTAAATTAAGAACGTGACGTCACTTCCGAATTATAGCATTCAAAATAAGTAGCGTTTAATTACGCTAGCCATTCATAATGAATTCGTAGCCCAGCGGTAGAATGCTTGCTAAGCACGCAGGCGGCCCGGGTTCGAATCCCGCATGTACTATTTTTTCTTTTTTTACTAAGTGATTGTTCTTTGATATTACACAGAAAAAAACAATTTTTATTTACAGAAACTTTATTTTAGAGCTTGAAAATGTAAAAACAATATATGTCAAAATATTGCGTTTTGGAGCGATGTGCAGGTTTAAGATCAATTTCAGCCTCAGAGTTTTGCCTCTTGAATACAATTATTACATGTACATGTATTTGATAAAGAGAACATATATGTTGTAAGGTAGTTCCTGATGTCTTAACTAATAGTAAATTTACATGTCTAACAGCATGTACATGAATATATAAAAAATAGTGAGAACCAATGTCAAACCAGAAAGGAAACACACAGTAAAACCTGAACACAGTGAAAACAATTGTAAAGTGAAGGGGGAGGGGTGACATGAATTCCAATAAAGATGCATAATATGTGACAATGACAAATACTTATTCAATCAGATGTTTTACTGTATTTTTATTTATACATAAGACCCAAGAGTATTGATGAAAGTATGCTACAAAAGGAGTTGGGGTTAGATAGAGGGATACCCCCCCTCCTGATATAGATGACATTGAGAAATAGGTGTTCACTGATATAGGTTTTACTGTTTGTTTACTTCCCCAATCCCCATGTACTTACTGGTCTGTAAATCCTTCTAGCTCATCCCACTGTTCATCAATGGTAGATTCAAGATCCAGATATGTCCCATATTCTCCCTGACTTCCAGTATATTTATATAACTGTAAAGCACAGTCTTCTAACTGAAATATAGAAGAAATAAACGCATAAAATAGATGTACAAGAGTGTAAGAATGGTACATTTTTAATTTTGCACATAACCTGAGGAGACCCAGTGGCTAGGAGTAAGATAGGGTACTTTGAATCTTAATAGACACTATATTGCAGAATAAGATGCATAAGAAAACAAAGGTATGAATGAAAATTTCCTGTTTCTGTATTATGATACCAAATTGATATTATCCAAATTTAAACTTGCATTGTGCTGACATATCACAGAGATTATACCATTCTCCAAAGAAAACAGCAATCCATTCTTACATCAACCCTCTATCCCCCCCCTCCCCATCATTCAATTTCAGCTATACCATATTCCTCAAACCACCATTGATACTGAAAGTCAACAGGTCAAGCACAAAAGCAACATTAATTGAAATCATTCATATCAAACTGAATGTTTCTGATATCAAAGATAAAAAGATAATAAGCAGCTGTATGATGAAAACACATGTTTTTCCTTAGCATGAATCAGATCATCCCTGGATGTTGATAACTTAAAGTAAACTGCAGGTTAATGCCCTTGATGCATTTTCCAGTGTGGGGTTGAATCATATGTTCAAGAACTGCAATATATCTGAGCCTACCTTGGAGCCTCTTTTCAAGGACAAACCCAAACTATTATAAAGAGTAATCCCATTGTAACCTCATTTTATATTAAAATAACGATAGCAGAGGTAAATAGATCGGTATCATATTTGAGTTTAATAAAATACACATGAGGATGGGGAATGGTCTCAGCAAAGTACTAGAAGATGCAAGATTGTGTTATATCTAGTCATCTGGTACTGATGCCAGAGAGTCAGAATGAATCAGTATTTCTAGAAATATCAAGGAGTTGGCTTTGTTGGATCTGGTTCAAGTTATTAGTGTTTACTGAAGAAACGTTTGCTCACGTTTTCTATTTTTGATGCTAGCAGTTGGTGATCTCTAAACCAAATCACAACTGACAGATCTGACTAGACAAGGGATCTGTTTAGTCAAAATAAGTAAAAATAAGCTGTACCAATCAAATTGCCAAAGCTGACCATGTGAACACAAGTAAAGATAAGCTTGCATTTTGAGTTTTAATTACTAAATGACACTCTTTTAATGATCAGAGGTGTTAGAAAGGCCAACTGCAACTGAACTCAAAGGCAACCAAAAACACTAGCCAAGGGGAGTCTGGGGGCATATCCTTGCACTTAAATGCTTATGTTGTAGAATCATTATACTACTGGATTTTAGTGCTATTTTGAGGAGAAATAATAGAAAGGATTCATACAAGTCCCTTATGTTTATTATCTATAAGACAGGGATTCTATTTCACTAACTGTCCTGGATATACCTGAATATATGAAATTGGAGTTCTAAATATACAATGAAGTTATTAAGGTAGTCTGCATGATGATTTTTTCATATAATTTGTATGGTTACAATTCCCAATAGCTAATAACACAGGAATTATACTTTTTCAAATTCAAATGTCTATATTACCACGTTGTTGGAGAATACTGTACTCCGGGTAAATTTCAACGCTATAAAATTTCGCAATTTTTCAAAATTGCAATTTCGTGGCTATTTAATTTTGCGGATTTGAGTTGATGACATTTCGCGAACTGCACAAGTTGAATTTTTTCCCATTACCGTGAATCAATGCATATCTGGCTATTTTAGCCCGTTCAGAATCCGATTAATGTTTGTATTTCCCACGTTTAGGGCATTTATTTGAATATTCTTGAATGGCTTTTTCAACTTCAATTTGTAGGATATCATTGTTGTCAACAGTTCTTGCCTTTGTTGGCCTAATAAGCCAATTCAAAATGTTAGACATTTTAGGCCTTTTTTGAATTATCACCAAACAACACTAGACGAAACGTTTTACACCGAACGTAACATATCAAAAGTCCCGTTTCAAATCCCCGGGGATTTAAAAGACAAATGTTCGCGACGATAAATGTTCGCGATTTTACTATATTCGCGAACAAAGCGAAATTAAATCGCACGCGAACAATACCCGGAGTACAGTACTCAAAATAGCAAGCTACCTTATGAAAGGGGTTCTACTGAATGGATATTGTGAAGTTTTGATGTTACAACTTTCAGCACAAGTAATCCAGTACTGAAAATGTGTAAGATAGGATTTAGGACAACGGTCAGGCCAATCATTTTCATTTTTTGGTATATGTAATCGATTCAAGGCCTCGAGTGATGATTAAAACTCTACTCCAAATTTCAACTCTATTGGCCACCAATGCTCAGGGAAATTATCCCACAATAGACATGAATCAACTGAATAAATGACAATCCACCCAACGACCTGTTTGTCTGTGCATTTATACCCTGATTTAAACATATAAATGTCAGAGTGACTCAAATACTGACAGCCCTTACACTTGAGTACCCGCAATATTGTGATCCTGGGTTCAAAATTCACATAAAAATCATAACAAATTCTAGAAAACTGCAAATGATTGTTTCTCCAATAGATAATTCACTAAAATTATGATAAACGATATTTTATGAGTGATACTATTATTACTGTCAAATTTTATTATTAGCTCCAACCCCTGGTTTGAAGTTTACAATCAAAGCACACCTGGATTTTGAGCAGGTTGAAAAGTTCGTCCGGCATTTTCTGAAGTTTCAGAATTGTACTTACTTTGTGAGGCGCGCATAACTGCCTGCGAACTCCGGCAATCTGGTTGACCAACGGTACGTTTGTAAGGAATGTGTATGATGGCGGTCGCGTTGGTTCTGGAAAGTTTGTACTCGAAAAAGGGTCAGTATCGTCGAGAAACTGGACCCTACATTGAAAGGTCGCCATCTTCGTTTCTAAACTGATTACGGTACTACTTATCAAAGCCTACTCACATTACAGGTACTTGTATATTACTACGCGGGGATTCCTCACATTCCTTTTCAAGCCGATGTCTGGTGCCAGATTGCATGCAACTCAAATCGGGCTATCGTGTATCAGAGTCTATCTATTTTAGAATATTCACAGAGCTTAGAGGCTCTTGAAATGAGAAACACACACTTCGGTGTGCTTTAATAGAATATAGTTCTACGCGGAAAGGTTTTATTCGAGTCGTGACTTTCCAAATGACGTTTACAAAGGGGGTTTCTAAATCTATTTTTAAATACACACCACGTAAACGATTTGGTTCGTATCGTACACAATTACGTTTCGCAGTCATATGGCTTTTCAATTCTGCTTAGATTGAATTATGAAAGAATTTTCCTCTAAAAGTGCTAATTCAAGACGCCCATTACTATAATGTTCAGTCCAAATGCATATACAAATACGGGGTGACCCAAAAATCAGAACCCTCCAAAAATTAATAACTTCTTTATTACAGTGTAATCAGTTTCATATTTCATTTACATAAATTACAATCTATGGATGACAATGTAAAACTAATTTTTTTAGATAAGTTTCAATATTCTTCTTGCCATGGTCATTGGTCATTTTGTGAGTATAGAGATTGAGATCAATCATTATTGGGGAAGTGTCCCAGCAACGTTTAAGCCATCTTTAAGTATGGCTGTACGGGGCCTCCCAAAGTAGAAAAGCTGATAATTTTTACCATTAGGGTATTTAAAAGTTCTCATTTCTCCCTCTTCCAAATCATTTTTAAATATTTGACTTTGATACCGCATGTCATGCATTGCTCTTAACTGAATTTTGTACAGCGCGGTTTGAGGTGTTCTTGTTCAGCGGCCAGAAATTACAGTTATCTGATTTTTTACTCTTTGTTTTACCACGCGGCTCATTCTTCATTTTCATATAAAACATAAAATGAGACTGAGTTTATGTCTTCTTTGGAATTTCTTTTTGAATTTCTCATAAAATCTTAAGATATGATTTTGTCTAAATGTTGATTTTCCGAAAACTTGGCACATACATAGATCATCCATAAATTATCAATTTTGTGAAACAACCTTAATATCATATTATCATCCATAGATTCTAGATAATGTACATAAAAATGGGTTGATAGGATAGGTATTTAAAACTATTACACTTTCAGAGTGCTCTGTTTTTGGGTCACCCTGTATATTTATGTTGGAGTGGTTCAGAACTGTGGCTTGTATCATGCAGTTTCTTCATGTCCATACTAGTGTGTTAAAATTAAAGTAGCAGAAAAGAATAAACCATATATAATATAGAATGTCACTTGACTTGGAAGTATCAGTCTTTTCGAAAATTGTCCCACTCATGAAAATCGATTTGAGATATCTGATCAAATGGAAAGAGTATCGAAAACCTTTAAGACGTAGAAATGTCCAACTTCATTAATCTTAAAATCAAAAACACTATTATGGAATAAAGTCCATTTGACCATTAGAACTGTTAAAAATAGGCAAAATATAGAACGTTGTGAGGATAACATATAAGTGAAGTTAAGTTAAACAGATCTGGGAGAACTTATTGAACGTGAACGTGTGATATTTTGACCCCCAGGAATTGATAACTGATAGCTCCAGAAAAAGTAAAAAAATTCTAACTTTCTCTCTACAGGCCGTGTTGCCCCTTCAAGCTAGTGTATTGTTTCTTCACGGCCGAGGTATAATCATGGGTTTAAAGTCACATGGTTAACAAAACTCCCATTAGACGTCATTGATTCAATGATTTTTACTTTTATTTTTGGCAGAGAAACTAATGAAACTAGTTGGATCAAATGAAACCTTGCGAGCTCTTGCGAATCAAGATGGCGAAAAGGAGAAATAAAGACGCTGGGATTGAATATGAGGAGGTAATTCGATTGGAGGGAAAATATGGATTTTATCCCAAGGAAAATATGAATTTGTTATAAAATGATTTAACCCGGAATTTTGAAGTATAATAATATCTATTTTAATTGTAGTTTCTTGAGATCAATGTTATACATCTCCATGAAACTGGGGTGCATTGTCCTCTGCGAAGGTACACTCAAATTCTTTTGCAGTTGAAGAGCAGCACTCAAACCATGGTAATAATTACATGCATCTCTACATACATTTTATCAAGTTTTATGGAACACACTAAAATTTTGTCACAAACACTCGTAATTTCTGTTGAATAAAATCTTGCCCTTTGTGCTTAATCTAGATACTCATTCCCCCAAATTAACTATATACACCTTTAATCAAATTATGCCACTGTTATTTATCCCATTTTAGCACACATGGTATCTGCTATTGTAATCACCCACTGGACACCCACTTGTCTGTCTGTCTGTCAGTACATTGGTGGTTATTTGTAATCCTTCACAATTAGTTCTAATCTTTCTTCAAGACCTTGGACCCCCTTATTAAAGTAGTTAAAGTAGTGGGGGGTCCATGGTTTTGAAGCAAGACTTAACAATTCAAATGGTTTCACTTTTATAAAGTCGCGTCTAAAGCTTGCCTTGTTTCAAAATGGCGATCATTTAATTGGCGAAAATCAGGTTTAGCCAGGTATCCATAGTACTATTTATCTATTATAAACCCATACTCAAATCTTCGTGTTTGTGTTTTCGAATGTTGCCCCCTGTGGTCCAAAGTTTTGAATTGTACACCCTACTGGAATCTACACCCCTTGCCACTTAAGTCATGTTTATACCACAACTAAATCTTTGGTTATATCCCATTTAATGGTGAGAGGGTATTGATACACCCAAACTTAGCAAAATATGATTAAACTCATTGCAAGAACCTCTGAGCTGAAATGCAATGTCACTTTTATGTGGATGTGTTTGGCGGTTGGTGTTTGACGGTCGGCGACTGTAACGAATAGCAGACGGTGACATTTTGCATGTCAATGCCTTGTTTGTAGGATATGCTTACCCTCTTTATATCAACACCCATGCTATCCAGAAGCTCATTGGCTGATCTATACCCCTTGAAGTCAACATCATGTTCTTGTTCCAACTTCAGTCTAAATATAGCAGGTAGAGATGGCTTTTGGCACAGAGATAGTATGTCTGTAATGGGGATGTTGCCCTTCGCCCTTTGGATCATTAGTAACATTGCCCTCAGTTCGTGTCTTCTTGTCTTTCTTACACCAACTGGTGACCTTGGAGGAGGGGCGAATCGATCGTGATCTGTTGCACCTGAAAGGTCCAAGGCGGATGGTCTTACAAGACCTTTTAATTTGTCCTTCTCATACTGTTTATGTTGTTCTTTGATTTCCTTTTTGACAGTAGCTGGTGTGAGAAATCCAAAGCCATCTTCATCATCCTCTGAAGAAGGAGTTTCGTCATCGATGTTTATGAGCTGATCTTGTGATTGGGATTTTCCTTTCTTTTTTCGTCCAAGTGATCCTTCAACATCAGACGCTTCATAATCTGATTTGAGTTCCTCTTTGGCGTCCTTATTAAACAAATCAAACGTGTCAGCTTGATGACGTCTTTTGGTGGAAGGAGATGACGTTAGTGTGGTAAGAAGGTTATCAAGGTCATCAAGTGCTTCAACAGACCTAGTTCGTGTTTTACCTCTCCCCCTTCCACGCGTACCCTTTCCTTTTCCTGTTCCCAGTTTGTTCAACTGTTCCGTACTTTGATACATTCGTGTTGAGAGGTTTTCAGCTTGTTTTTGTATGGCTGCATCAAGAGGTGATTTAGACATCTGATTGGGTGAAAGAACTGGATCTGGAGTCGGTGGAATTGGAGCATCTAGGAGAGTGTGTGATACAGCAGCAGGTGTTACTTTGACCTTCATCTCAGCACCTTCAGGTGGGGTATCCGTATCCATAAGATTTTTATCTTCTTCTGTTTCATCAACAGTATCCAGTCGTTGTAGGCCTAGTAGGTCATCGATGTCCTTCATGGCTGTCCTTGCTTTTACATGCCCTTCCTCATCTAATATATCCTGAGCATCATGAAATTCATCATCACTAGATTTTTGACCTTCTTTCTGCTTTGCCATCTCAGCTTCTTTGGCCTTTTCTTCTTCCTCTTCTTCATCTCCAAGTAGTTCATCGATGTCATGAAAATGACTGATATAACCATCTGTTCTCGTTATATCACTGATAAACTCGGGGCCAGAAGGTGTGGGTTCATCAGTTATACGTTTGCTATCTTCAGTAATAGGAGATAGCACTGATTCTTTGGTCCCAGCGTAAGCATCATACCATTCATCATCACTTGTAAAGTCGTCGGTAAAGTCATCTTCTGTAAAACCAAGCAGGCTATCAATATCGCATACTCCACTTATTAATCCCTTTCTTCGTGAACCAGGGTCCTCACTGTCACTATGCAACATGTCAGTAACGCTAACTGACCTTCCCTTGTTAAGGTTAGATTTCGAGGATCTAGGTCTGTCATCCATTGTGCTGATAGATGACATCGATTCTGCATGACGCATCCTACCCTGTGGTACATTTAGTTGTTCCATTGATCTGGCGTGCTTTATATCGTCAAGGCTTTCACCGTGGCGCATTTGTGGTTCCAGCTTGCGTCTTTGTTTCTCCTCCTGGCTTTTCTTTAACCGCTTAAGTGATTCAAGTTCACGTTGACGTTCATATTCAAGTTGTTCTTGTTGGTAAGCTCTCTCTTGTTGAATTTGACGTTGGCGTTGTTTCTCCTTTTCATGCAGACGGTCCTGTTCTTCCTGAAGCTGACGCTGGTGCTCATACTGTCGTTTTAGCTGCTCCTCACGTCGTTGATCTTCTTGTTGCTTGTGGAGCTGTTTTGTTCTAAAGTCCATCTGAACGGGGTATTCATCCTGAGGTTCAACAATCCTTAGGGGAGGTAAATCTTCCTTGTCTGTGTTGTCATATGGAGACTCTTCTCTTACATTCCTTTTAGGCATTTCCTTCGCCTTTAGGCGCTCTAGACGTCTTTGTTCCAATCTCTCATTGACGCTCATCTTCTTAGGCTCGGCATTTTCATATGGTGACGGTGGCCTGTTGCGTGGTTTCCTCGATTTTGAGGCCCATTCCTCATCCTCATCGGGTGTTCCATCCCTATAGAATGTTTCACCATCAGGTCTTTGCTTGCTAAACACTCTTACTGATTGCTCCACTTCTTCCTCAGTTGGGAATTCTGGAACTCCTGCATAAGTTCTCGGTGGATGCCTCTGTCCACGTTTGGGTCGATCTCCATGATGGTGCTGTTCATGATGTACATTAGGAGACTCCTCTCTGTAAAACCCAACTGAGCTGTCTGTATCACTTCCCCTTTCGAGATGGTGACCTCGTGATCTTCCTGCTGAACCAGGTCTTTCTTGTGATCCAGCTTTTAAAAGTTTATCGTGGGATGACTGCCGAGCTGTGAGTCTATTTGGAGATACGTCTCTTGAAAAAGCATCCGAGGAACTACCAGAATTCTTTCTTCTAGGAGAAAATGTTCCCTGATTATCCAGTCTCTCTCCACTTGCATTTAACTCAGATTTTCTAAAATCTTTATTATGTGGACTGCCTTCTCTTGAAAATACGCTATCACTGGATCCATGTCGGGATGATTTCCTTCTATGGTATCTTTTATCCCTGTTTGGAGAGTGATCTCTTGCAAAAGGTACTTCATTACCACCTTCATTGGGATAATTTGGTGGTCTAGTATCTGATAGGTGTCTACTTGAACCACTTGACGAGCGTGACATCCTGTGGTGTTCAGGTTCTGGCGAATCCCTGTCAGATGTATCAGGATAGTCAATATTTCTTGCAGTTCGAGGTTCATATGCACGTGAATGCCTGTTTTGTGGCATTTCAGGAACAACATCAATATCTGATTCAAATTCAGATGTTTCATCGCCAGGACGATGGTGAGGTTCATAAGCTCGATGGGGCACCTGTTCATAGTAACCTTCCATCTCTGAGTCAGTCTCATACTGTTGTCCATGTATTCGTAATGGGCCCCTCTCATAACTCTCTCTGTTATCACCCATCGGTCTGTTCTTTGGCTGGTAAGGTTTTTGCTTTAAGTCTCCCTGAAGAGGTGCACGGCGTCTCACTTGGTATGATGTCATGCTACCTACACCAGACTTTAACGCATGTGGAGAGTTAGGGGAGAGTGCCTGGTCTTGTTGTGCTTTCTCTCTTCTTATCTGCTCCTTCCACTGAGCGACCTTATCTATACTTTCACGCATACCTAATGTATCAGGTGTTAAAGGAGCTCCATCTGGCCCCATGTTTTCCATAGAACGAGACTGATTTGCAAGTCTCTCTGCTTCTTCGATCTCCCTTTGCTTCCTTCTTCTTCGAGTGTCAGATTCTGGCCTTTGTCTCCTGGATGTCTCTTCCAACTCTTCTTTCCTCCTCCGTCTTTGCTCCTGTTGTTGCTGTTGTAATTGTTGCTGTTGTTGTCTTTTCAGTGCTTCTTGACGCTCGGCTTCTTCTCGCTCAGCCCTTCTTCTATTTCTCTTCGCCTCAGATTCAATTCTTCTGGCATCCTGCCTTCTTTGTCCAGGCTGCAGTTTCTGAGGTTCTGGATGCTCATCTCTAAGCTGGTTTCCTTTTCCGGAGTCAGGTCTTGTCTCAGGTTGAAGATGCCTGTCCCTTCTAGAATCTGGTCTTGATTCAGGCTGTGCTTCTTCTGCCCTTGGTCTACTACGGTTTGATCTGTTTGGATCCTCCACCGGTGGTCTACAATAATACATACCATCAGCATAATATGATGCACCTTATAATATGAATGAAATAATCGAAATATTTGTTCACGTTGCAGATCTTTTTGGAAACTCATTTATTAATTTGCTAGAAACGGTGCATGAATTCAACGGAAATATGATCTTGAATAAGGAAAAACATTTTGTAAAAAGCCAGGAATTACTCTATACTGGTAACTACATATATAATATACTTATTAGGTATGATAAATGTAGCATCGTTTTATTAACTTTATTACACGTACATATCGATAAGTGTATACAATGCAGAATTGAAAACAGCATACTTACACACACAATATATATCATATAAAAAACAAACTGATTGACTGTAATGCTTAAACTTGATAAATGGTGACTGTGATACACGTCCATTGTTTATGCAATTTTTTGAATCCAGCATATCCATCTTCTTATGTCTTTCACAATTTGTAAAAGGAATGATGAAATGAATGCAATAGAAATTTGATTGAAGAAAGTATTAACTTACGGTGGTGGAGATGATTCTTTCCTATTAAGAGCAGCTTCTGCCTCACGTTGCTTTCTTCTGCGTTCTAGCCTCTTCTGCCTTCTGTCTTCAGCAGTGTCAATCTGCTCCACCGTTTCAGTCTTTCTCTCAACACTCGCAGGTGCAGGGTCAGCCTGAGTCCTTTCAGTTTTCTTACGTGCATCGTCCCCATAAACTTGATCCCTCCAGGACGTTTTAGTCGGTGAATCTGGTTGTGAGCTAGTAGAGCCCCTATCTTTGTATTTTGAATAACTTGGGGTACTACTGGTAGAACTCCGTCCTCCTCTAGAATCTCCTGATGAATATGTATTGCTTGCAGTAGATGGCTTACTATGATATCCACTTCCTACATATTTCTCATAGTATTTATAAAATGTATCACTTTCATAATCACCAGTGGTATCCTTTTGTTTTGAGCGAGTGGGAGATTGTGGATCGTCTTCCGTTTGACAAGAACATTCAACAGTTTTAGACACACTTGGCTCAACAACAACTCTTTTTCCATTCACAAATTTAATCTCAGGCTCTGACTTAGGTATAGCCTGCGTCTTCTTCTTAGCAACCTTATGTTTGGATCTAGGTTTCCGTGACCTTGATCGCCCATTGTCGAAATCCACAGGAGACGTGCCCCTACTGGTTCTATAGGTTAAAGTCTGTCCTTTTGCCCTTCTCTCCGAATCTGAAGAGCATTCCTCAGATGACTCACTCGAACTAGAGCTAGTTTTTGGTTGTATGACAATAGCTGGTGGCTTTGATTTTGGACTTGTATAAGCCATTTCCCTTGAGGATTGTCTAGAGTATGAGGGTACTGAAGTACTTGTCCGTGAAGAATATGATGGTCTTTCATATGAACTTTGTCTACTATATGAATCTTTATTGCTTCCATAGCTTGAACCATACGATGGTTGTCTATCATAACTACTCCTATCATACCGCGAGGAAGAAGTATCACGTGATGAATATCCACTTGCCCGTGACGAAGACGGGTCACGTGATGAACTAGAATAAGATGGTTTATCAAAGTATGAAGCAAGTGAGGATACGTTAAAGTCTCTTGGTTTGCTATTGTAAGAGGATCTTGAAAGTGAAGAGTAAGGTGATCCGCTGCCATAAGAAGATGCAGGAGAGGGGTCTCTACTAACAGGGGTCGACATAGTTCCAATGGAGTACTTAGGATAGTTCCTGTCCCATGATCCATATGATTTGGTACTACCCCCACCATAATCTGACGCATATCCAGTCTTATACGAATCCCCATAATTTGAACCATAATCCGAGCCTCCCCGTGAGGAGTATCTATCCAATGAGCTGTATCTTCCCGTATCACGTGATCCAGATCCTCCATAGCCTCTATCGGCGGAGGAATACCTATCACGTGAACCATACGACCCCCCATATGCTCTGTCCAATGATGAGTAGCTGCCATGCCTATCCAAGCCCCCCGAATAGCTGCCAATTCTGTCTAGACCGCCGGAGTAGCTCGTAGCTTGGCTCTTATAGTCCCCGGTACCGAGAGAGGATCCATAAGTGCTCCCAGCACTCTTTGAGTAACCAGGGGAGGTAGATGCTGTTACGGTGCGTCCTCCAATATCATATTTTGGAATCTGAAATATATAGACCTATATTAATACATAGTATAAAAGTATGCGCTTTTAGCATATATAAATCATACAATATCATTCTTAATATTTAGGGACTAGCCCAAAAATCTATTTCAAGAGTCAAATTATTAAGTTTTACATAGTTTTGTTTGGTCCAAGGTTAGATAGAATGAACGTATTGTTAGAGGACATACACATGCGTTAACATCGTAGGTAACGTGAACACTTTGCATGTAAATTAAACTAAAGGGTCATCAAGATCACTCTGTCCAACACTTCCAATCTGCTTATGAAAACGAAATAGAATTCTTAGTTTGCTTGCTTGTTTGTTTGTTTGTTTGTTTGTTTGTGGAAAGGTGATGTGATACTGTTATTAAATAAAGGCACATTCCCAAACACCTTATTGTTTCAATAAGAGAAACCGTTAAATACCAGATACATGAGGCTGTGTCGACTTTTTATGACTTTCTAATAATGTATCTTTATCTATACTTTTGATTTTCCACATGTAGCAAATATTAAGAGTAGCGATTCTTGCAGGTTCATGTTTTCTGACATGACACATTGTTTTGGAAGTCGAAGCAGGTTTCAGGTACACAATTATCATCTCGCAAAAATGTTCAATATTTCATGTTAATAGAGGCCAAAAGGTAACACGAGGGTGCACAGTGACCATAACACATTTGTTATAGCAAATGTATAGGGTTTTCATCATTTATCATGGCAATTGGCACTCATAAGTTTTCCATTTTCTGTCAGCGTGTGTTGTGATAAATAACTTTTTGAGGTCGAAATTGCTAAACACATAGTAAGCATGCTAAAACGAGAACAGTACAAAAGCATGAACACGTCTATGATAAAAATATCCAAAATTTATTTTTGAATTGTTGATTGTTGTACGCTTACATTACGTAATGAAATAGATCAACAGGCAACAGAGGTTTACAAGTAGAGGGGGGGGGGTAATAGAAAGTAGTATTTAGGACAGAGTAACAGACACACCACTCAGGTCAAGTCAAATATATCCACTATCCAACAAGCATCACCATATTCTGAAGTGCATCCTTGATACGGAATATTTATCTCTTAGATATAGTATATGGAATTTTCCACTATGACGTAATGGAAATATCCAAAACGACATACGATACAAGAATTGATGCTGGTTTGGATAGTGTACATGAAAAGGGGACAGACACTGAGCTTACGCCATATGATCGCTGAGATGCATAATATGGTTGCTGAAAAGGTGCAAAACATAGATAGTGAGATTTAAGATGATTTTGTTAATTATAAAAATGGAGGTAGAGTCAGACTTCACATAGACTTCAGTTGTGCTAAAAAGAAATAAGGAATTGTTCAATCAGAAACATTATGGTGGCAACATCTTTGAAGAGTCTTGTGAGGAACAAGTGGTACTATAGTAAGAATTTATTCAAAAATTCCATGTGGCAATCAAACATGGTTATAAAGAATCCACACAACAGCATGCCAGATTTCAAAAAGGATCACAATGAAAATCCTCTTCGACTTACAAGGTGAAGTCAGAGCATTTGAAACCTTGTAAATCAAAATGTCACAAAATGTCATGCTCATGCATAAAATGTCACATAAAAATCTTGAAGATTTCACAATGGCATGCAGTGAATGATAATTCCAAAATACGTACTTTTCTAATCAAACAGCAGCACAATATTACAAAACCACAGAATAAAACCCAAATACAAAGCAAGAGGTGCATTAAATTGGTATGGCCAGAGCCCCAAGAAAGTTTAACAGGGCATCGATGTGACATGCTCATACGATCTGGCAAAAATTGTTAAAAAGTCAGGTTAACAAAGGGAATGACTTTCACCAGAAGATTTTGTTATAATTATGTGCATTCTCTTCAATATTTGTAGTTGAATGTAAATGAAAATGAGTATCATAAAGATAGGATAGGAAAACAGAAAATGTGAAAAATTCCATCATAAATAGGAAATTTCCGTTAGTGGAATATTCCACCAGTGGAAAATCCCACATTTATTAGACTCACCGGAGCATTAGTGACTCTGGACTTGAAGAACTTCTTATACCGTTTCCTATCCGCCAGCTAAATCGTGCAATGCAAAATTAGTATACTAATTCATTAGTAAATATCTAAAATTTCAAACTACAAATCTTTTATGTTAAAGATACCTGCCCAACGTTTTTTCAAGGATAATCATCTTCCATTCATGTGCATAATATTTTTGAGCAGCTTCTTCAAATAAAATGTTGAGCAGGATGACATTAGTAGTTGGATACATTCAATCCAAAATTCCAGTCCAAACTAACGTAGCATTTGCGAATTCAACTACCGGCTAACGGTTTATGGCCAACTCATTTAGATATGGATGGCATTATGGCAGAAACTAGTCATATTTAAATGAGTTGGCCATAAAATAGTAGGTTTATCCGTCAGCCGACAGTTAAATTCATGAATGCTACTTAATTCACTGCCTCATTTTTGAAGGATCTCAAAAGTGCAGCAGAGGACAGAGACGAGTTACAAAAAATTGTCACTATTTAGAAAATTTTTGCTCTCAAATTTCCTTGATGTGACTATTTTCAAGTCCAGAGGTCTCGACTCTAATTCGTGAAACAAGGTTGATTTTAAGATTATTGCGAAACTATTCTGGACTTGGGTCAGCCTCCCTTTTGGATAATGACATATTTATCCAGTTTGGAAAGATTTGTTTCAACGTTAAAACGCTCTATCATTTGTCGCTGATTGGATAAAGGGATATTAGCTTGTACATGGGCGTAAAATTTTGCAAAATATTATTTCATATGTTCAACTGCTTATATGCTACTAACATGCAACAAAGAAAATGTTAATCCCAAAGAATCAAAATAATACTTTTTTGTGACTTATTAATAACATGCATTGTTATGGGATGAATTACTTTAGATAAACATTACATATTAAATAGGTTCAGATTTGCATCAGTGCATCAAATGATGCTTCAAAACCATTCCAAAATGTAACAAATTTCGATTTAAAACTGATATTTTAAACTATACTGATATTAAGTGTAGCCTATATATTGAAATACATTAATATCTAGTGATTTAATTAATAAAGTTGGTGCAGTAACTATAAATAAAATATAACTAAATTAAATCTAGCAGTGTTTCATGTTTACATTTGAGTTTTACACTACTGTGGCATGAATTCAGATGTAGACAAAGTGTCGTCATGCGTGGCCATATACAGTAAAACCTGTAAAGTGGAACACCTCTGTTAGTGGAACACCAGAGTCCCAAGACCAACTGACTTTATGTTAAACGAACCTAGGCCTCTATGTGGAACACCTCCCAGGTGGAACACTTTTTAGAGGTACCAAAGGTTTCCACTTGGACAAGTTTTACTGTATAACCTATACAATTGGCCAGATATCAGGATATGGCTACTTGATCTTCATACTGACGACATTTAGCTGGTGATTGGCCATGTATGACCAGTCACTGACAACGCAATTCTTTGTCTACAAAAGAGTCAAATTATGATATTGGTCGTGTAAAACTTTATGTAAATGTATAGTATAGACGCACTCACCCCTCCATAGCTGGAACCATAGCTACCACCTCCCCCTGTTCCTCCCTGCGTCTGCAAATACAATACATTTAAACGTTAATGTTCTGGGTGCTACAGCGTGGGCCAAAATGTTTTTGTCTATCATATCGTAGCATGGTTTCCAAGCAATGTGATGTTCGAATTTCTCAACAAAAGATGATATGTCACTCTCTTAAAGTTCCACAGAAACGAATTTTCTATAAAACACTACATCCTAAGAATATATCGAAGAGTAAGCAATTTAAAAAAATAAGACTATGGACATCTATATCGCCGAAAATAAAGATAAAATGGTTTGATTAATACGGAATACTACAAATGGAAATATTAGGGAAGTCATCTGGAATACTGTGCTATGGTTTTGACAACTAGTGAATACAGTTTTGCCCAGCTAGTGTCACCTTTAATAGACCTGGCAAAGTCGCTCAACTAGGGACACCTTAGACCCATCTAGCAAAGTCACCCAACTAAGGCCACCCAATCTGGCAGTTTCGCCCAACTAGGGATATCTATCAACTTATCTAGCAATGTCGCCCAACTAGGATCATCTATCAACTTATCTAGCAATTTCGCCCAACTAGGGCCAATTTAGACCTATCTAGCAATTTAGTCCAACTTGAGCTACCAATCAATTTATCTCACAATTTCGTTCAAACTGGCCCGACTTAAACCTCTCTAACAAGTTCGCCCAAACCAATTCGCCCAACTATAGTGATCACATATATCGAACAAACGAGTTTCAGAGTGTCTCTGAAGGAGTGATTTCAAATTATTTTGTAGGTAAAGTCCAATGCTTCGAACACTAACTGAAAGCAGGCCCTCCCTTTTCTTTTAGTACTTGCCAGAGAAAGGGGAGGGTCGTGGCGAAAATATTGCCTTAACACCTACATATATATCACTCTAACGCAAAACCCCAATGTAAAACTATTTACAATAAGGATACCACAATCTACTTCCCGATAAGTGTTTGAAAACTTATGAAGGAGTATGTGATACACCTGTTGCACTTGAAGAAGGTGGATACTGCCCTTGTTTTGGGTTTTGCCCCAGACTGGTATGTACAGATTTAACAGTAAATGTAAATAAGCAGCAACAAAGTATCAACATACAAAATGTCACCACCTACCATTTGTAACAGAAGATGACACCGAACACCATCCACAAAAAATTTGAGACTATAACAATATGTCTGATAACATAATTATTATTAGTCGTGCCCACAAAAATCAACTTTGTACCTTATATTCTGTATCAGAATCAATGGCGCTAAAATCAGTATCATATCCACTAGCCCTCCCTCCAGTATCTGTCCCATATCCACTGATTCTCCCGCCAGTGTCTGTCCCATATCCACTGGTTCTGCCTCCTGTATCCGTGGCGTATCCACCTCCAATACTATCCCTCCTACTTCTCCCGAGAGAGACAACTGAACTGCTTCGATACATTCCTTAAAGTATCCTTATTTCCTTTATTTAGTATCCTTAATTATGCCTTATTTATTTCCTGAGCTCAGATCAGTTTTTTAACTCTTGGAAGTATTACATTATCCTTTCACACGTAGAATAAGACTTTGTTAATTCCAAGAATCCAATAGCAAGCAGGACGATTCTAGATCCCAAACTCTCCCCAAGACATACAAAGAGACGAGAACATCCCAATAGCCTATTTATTTACCAGTCCTACTTTTCGGATAAAATCTATTTGCCATTAAATATTTTTACTACAGTATGAAGATAAAATCCAGCTTATTGTATAATCCGTGACTGTCAAAATACCTAAATATACATTCAAGTCAAATGGCTTATTGCCAATCTAAATATTTTTTCCTGATCTATTTCTGCCATTCCCTCCCAATCGTACTCTGGGTATCGGCACCTACTACACTAGGTCTCTATCTGGACAATTAACGTGTTGTGTATTTTTGTATCAGATCATATATTGTATTTTGGGCATTATCATGTTGTGTTTACTTGCAAAAATATTATCCTTGGATTGGGTGGTATTCATACAAGCCAACCTTCAGGGTCAATATACACCACATACCAAAGAAATCATTTTCGTGCATCCTTTTCAAAAATTTAATCCCTTTATTGAAACGATATGTGTAAAGATGACTATAGATTAAATACACATGCCCACAAAATCAAAATGAATAAATGAAAGCCAAGAGTTTTTTTTACTGGCATCTTCACATTTCCATAAGAATGCAAAATATGATCTGTAAACTTAATTCCAGAAAAAACAAATTCTTCTTGATACTGATATCCTGCCAAATGTAAGTGGTGTACACTGTATAACACTTTCAAAATTTGTTGATGATGCTGTATTGGTTAAAGATCATCTGCCTCTGAATCTAGAAGGTTTAATTACTGATTTCTATTTTACATCTTTTAGCCATTAAATTCTAAAAAAAACTTTCAAATGTTATGCCTCCATAAATTATCCAGTTGAATAAAATTGGGACAATTCTTTTTTCACCAGCAATAACTTTGTCATAAATGTTTGCTGAAAGTGAACCAGTTGGCGCTACTATCCTGAACCCTAGAGGCTTGCAGTAGATGTAAAAGATTGAAGAGTAAATCCATACAGGAACAAGTAATGCATGTATGGTAGGCTCGTATCCACCTTTTCGAAATCGTAACCAACTTTTCCAACAGTGCAAGAAAGTTCCTAGTTTTGATTTTTGTTTTTACTGTTCATTTGATTGCTGCAATGTCATTTTTTGAAAATGTACATTTATCCCGTTAGTATCTTGTGTCCTATTAGTAGAAGCGCATACACGATCAGCATTGTCTAGAGTATCAATATTCCTTAGTTTTAGTTCTTCAGGTGTTTCAAGTTCTGATATAACAATGGCACTCTATTTTGCAGAATGTCCTGATTTAAAATGCCACCTGTTCACCTGAACCGTGCCGGTGAATTTGCCATTTCCATGTTTTAGATGGCATGTTTTGATATTAGATTGATTTGATATTCGATCCAAACTTGGAGTTCTAAATGACTTTTCCGCATTTCACTATGTTTATTCACGGTGTAGTTTATCTGGAGTAATCGGCTGAAATTGTACTTTTATGGTATATATCATACAATATCAGTCTCATGGACAGAATAAAGAATTGGCTCATCAGATTGACGATATTCTAAATTTCCTTGATATATATCCGCATAGAACTAAAACACGAACTGCGTTCCGTATAACATTTTACTGGAGTTACCTGCCCGCCATTATATAATACGACATAATTTTTTCGTTTTGGTTCATTTTTCGTCCAACTCATTGATAACGCATGTAAATTGCTCCCTGTTTAAAGTCACCAAAGCATCAACACACGAGGGAGTAGCTCATATTTACTTTTTCCACACACATGGGTAATTTCTGCACGAGAAGCACGACATGCATGCAATAAAATACCTCATACTTTTATCAGATTTGCTTATCATTAACTTTCCAACACGAAATATTCAGAATAATGTATCTATGCAGTTGGTATTTACTATTGGGTTAGCGTGCTAAATATATCGCAAGGGAGTTTAACAGCCGTGTAAATTTAAAATACACGAAAGTAGACGACTGCAACAAAATGTTATTTTTTGAGTGTGACAGCCTAGATATAAGAATGATAATTTTCATTGATGAGAAAGCAATAAAAACTAAAAAATACAAAGCCTTCCGAAATAATAGTAATTCGGACAAATGATTAAAATGATGCGAAACCGAATAGAATAGTAACAGAGGTAAACCAATGAATTTCTTTCAAAAAATATTTCTACTTATATCAACATAATGAATGATTATCAACTGAAAACAGAATTTCCATTCACGAAAAATGTTGACCTCAAAAGGTCAGACCAAAAGTTCAAGGTCATCGTTTGTAGTTTCGATCGAATTTACTTGATGGTGAATAAACCAGAATTATTATACAGTTTCAATTCGGACATTTTCTGACTTACCATTAATACCTTCCTTGGCATCGTTAGATGGGTGTGTAGCAAATACAAAGCACTAATATGGTACTAATATATAGATCAACCTATATAATCGATGTGTTATACAATGATCACTATTTAGATGGTGTCGTCTGCTCCAATATTTGACGGTTCTCCATCACATTCAATGTCGTCTGCTACAATACTTGGTTGTTTATCATACACAGTATTTTCTACCGCTCTTTTCGTGTTTCTTTATCATAGACAATATGGTCTCCTATAACACTTGGTTCTTTTTCACATTCAGGATTGTTTGCTGCATGGTTCGATTTCATCATCATTCTCAATGTCGTCTGCGACAATATGTTCTTTAGCATATTCAATGTCGTCTGCTACAACTTGACATTCAGTTGTTCATCAAACACACGAAATTTTGCCCAAACGCTGTTTATCCATGATAGCATGTACGTAGTTGAGTTTGGGTTTTCCTCCTTTATATCAGTTCAAATTTTTAATCCAAATGTGCCTGGTATTAGCAAACGCATAATATGGGAAAGGACTGACCATTCGATTCATATTCAGTAGCTTTATGATATTATCATAAATTTCATCGATAGTGATATGGCACTCATAAATCAATGACTGTCTATAAAATCGGAGGGAACAAATGTTTATGACCTGACAGTAGATCAACATTCTTCAACTCTCGTGTCATTCTCCAGGTCCAACAACAACAACAGTTCCTTCCACTTTATGATCACATCACTAAATGGTAACGGGAAAGGCTGTTTCATTTGGAGAATGCTCTCGTTCTAATCTTGTTAATTCTTGCTATATTATACCATCATATCTTTGACCAGATAAATCATAATTCAAATATGATGATTATAATTATCGATACCCACGAGTATCTATTTAATATTTACTTCATTGATTATGTAACAGATCTAACGTGCATTATATCATATCTGGTTATTGATTAATCTAAAGCAGTGATCCCGTCCGAGTGTTAGCCTCTAGTACATTATGCACATGAAGCTCTCTTTTAAAAAAGGAAAATCAAACTTTTGGAAAGTGTATACAGCAACCGTCGGGTCCTTTTCAAA